TCAAATAAATAAGTAAAATCTTTAAAAAAAAAAAGAAAGAAAGAAAGAAAGAGGGTTTTCTTCTTGACATTCAGTGGAATGGGGGAAGAACTGTCATACATAAATCTTTTCAACAATCGCTGGAAGAATGCCCAAAGTAAAGAGCAGATCAGGTACTTTAAATCCCTTCCTTATCCGCTGTGCTGTGAGCCACAGTGACGTTTTGAGGCAGTGTGGTTTGGTGGGGAAAGCAAGGACTTGACACACAAACTTGGGTTCTGTTTCTGGCTCTAGCCAGTCCTGAGTGACTTCAAGAGATCACTTAACCCCTTCGGCATCACTGACGGGGATCGAGTTGCCCACCTTCCTGGCAAGAAACAAGATGATGACTCCAGGACTGCCGGGCTGGAAGCCTGACACGCCGGAAGTCCCCGGAAAGTTTTGGCGACAGGTAGGGAGAGACACCCTCATTCACCCGACACCTCCTGCAGTACAGGAGGTAAACGGAGGCACAGGGGGCCAGGGTGGCACCACCTGCCTGTTTCAGGAATGGCCGTGTAGGGTGCCATGGGTATGATCTCTATCTGTATAAAGTTGACAGTTGGCTTAAGGAGACAAGGAGTAAAATCATAAAGACCTAAGTTATGCTGTAACACTATGGATATCTACCTCTCCGGGCTTTTTGAAGTCCTCAGCTCACTGGATTGCCTACCTATTAAATCCTCTCAACAACCTTATTCTGTGCTTTCTCCACCTAAGTGAGCCATTGGTTTCCGTTTCTTGCAATCAAAATCTGGAATATATATATACAATATATATACCACCAGACCCGTCTCCAACTCCTGTAGGACATTTGTCATTCCTTTCGACTGCCTGGCCGAATTGAGACACTCTTTGTCTCAAATCCAAATGCCTCCTCAGAGTAGAAACCAATCATTTGTTCATTCACTCATTCATTTATTCATTCCTTCATTCCTAAGCACCTACCCGGTTGCAGGCTACATGCTAATCTCCTGGGACACATCCATCACTGAACAAAACAGGTAAAAGTTCTTGTCTTTCTGGGGCTTACGTTCTAACATGTGGGAGACAGGCAGTAAAGAATAAACTTATTGAGCAAAGAAGTTGGAGGACGAGAAACACTATAAAAAGGTAATATAGGACACCATGAGGGGTTTCACAGAGGCATCTACGGTGCAGGCTGTAATTTCAAATACTGAGGTCACCATAACTTCACAGAGGCGAGATAGGAGCTAATACAGTCGGTGGGAGAGTTAGCCACACGAATAGCTAGGGGAAGGACTTCCAGGCAGAATGAACAGTGCAGGCAAAGGCCCAGGGGCAAGAACATGCCTGGCACGTTCCAGGAGGCCACTGTGGCTGAGGCGCAGAAAGGGGAAAGGAGCAGGAAAGAAGATGGAGAGAAATGGGTCAGGGCAGGCTGTTTGGCTCTGACTCTGAGAGGGAAGTGGGACCGACTGCAGAGTTGTGAGCAGACGAGTCACAGGACTCAGTGGTTTAAGAACTACACTCTATGTGTATGTTTGGAAGTTTCCCTAATAAACAGTTAAAATAAAAGGCTGACTCTAGCATCTGGGTTGCAAAGAAGCCATGAGGGATGGGACAAAGTGGAAGCAAGGAGACTCATTAGGACCCACTCAGTAATCCAGGGGGGCGATGACCAGGCTGCTTCCAGTAGGTGACTGCATATTCCTTCCTTCTCTCTCTTTCTCTGTCTGTCTCTAATGGACTAGTTATAAAAATGAACAAAATATTCTACGTAATACACACAGCACAGTGTCTGGCATGCAGCCCTGATTAATATTCTTCCCCTTGTAGATGGAAGAATGGATCCTATGGACCTTAGGGAGCACCCACCATATGCCCACCCACTGCAGCATGACAGGCTCTGCTCTGCCAACTCAGCAGGAGGTCAGCTCACTTGGGCATATGGTCTCCAAACCTGCACCGACCTAGCAGCTCAGAGAGACTGAGAAGCGCAGAAGCACAAACCTTACTCAGCAGCCAGATTATTTTAGGGCGTGGGTGTTAAATCATACTGCAGTTCATCGGCATTCTGTCAATGGTAAGGCCTTGGTTATCGGGGAAGCAAGGAGGTTGGGTCAGACATCTACTTAGGAATTCAAAGCACAGTCAGGATGGGTGCTGTGGTCCACGCACTTGAAGAGCTTCACTGGTCTACAGAATGAAAAGAGAATATTTAAGGGATTATTTAAATGACTCTCACTCATCAAACATTTTATGGTGTGCCTACAAAGTACTGGGGATACAAAGTCTCTGACCTTGAAAAACACACAAACTATTTCTTTTTTTCTTTTAAAGACTTTATTTATTTATTTATTTGAGAGAGCACAAGCAGGGGGAGCGGCAGGCAGAGGGAGAAGCAGGCTTCCCACTGAGCAAGGAGCCCGATGAAGGGCTCGATCCCAGGACCCTGGGATCAAGACCCAAGCCGAAGGCAGACACTTAACCAACTGAGCCACCCAGGCGCTCCCACACAAACTATTTCTTTTAAGAAATATTGGCTAGCATTTATTGAGCACTTACTATGTACCAAGAAATCTGATTATGTTTACACAGACCATGTCTTTGAATCTTCTCAACAACCAAATGGAGCGGGTATTACCATCTCCAATTTAGAGCTGAGAAAGCTGATCAGAGTCACTTGTCCAAGTACACACAGTAGCCGTTGTGGAGCTGAACTTGAACCTTGCAGGCTCACACCAGAGCCCAAGCATGGAACCACTTCTGTAAGGATGGACAGGCTTGCTTGGAAAATCCTCCTGATGAGGTCTTTGGCCAGAAAGTTGGACTTGAAGCACATGGGTGATGGCTAGTGCCCAGGCTTCAGCAAAGAAGCTACCCAGTAGAGGGAGGAGATGCAGAGTCCCAGGAGGGCAGGGAAAGCAGAAGAGAGAGAGGAGCCAGGTAGCTGCGGCACACTGGGCACTAAGGAGGAGGCAGGTCAACAGTCGCTTTCTCCTGGCCAGGTGCTGGAAGGGACTTTGGAAAAACAGGAAATGCATTGTTCGCTTTACTGCTCCCCAGGACTTGCCTACTCTCCGGTAGAGTCTATACTACGCAGATATTCGTTATGAGAATAGTTTGTTGTTGCTGTTTTCTGCCCCCGACCCCCAAAGTCATTGAGTTCATGGAGTCTGGCTCAGTACAGAGCTCACAGAAATCAACCAGGAGGCAAGAAAGGCTCTGAAAAGATAAGAGCTGGCCAAAATGTGCAAGAATCTTGGGGAGAACTGACAGCCACAGGACAGAGGACCATGTCACTTGAATTGTGTGGGGCAAGAGGTTGTTAGGGGAGGAGGTTGGTGTGTTAACCTTGGTCCCTCTCCCATGGTAAACCTTTCCTTATCTCCTCTGCACTCCCAGGAACAATACAAAATCCCAGCTGAACACCGGCGCCCAATGGGCAGTAAAGAAGTGGGAGAAGGAGAGCTGAGCCGGGCTTGCAAGGGAAGAGCCCCGAAGGGCAGTGCAGGTGGGGACAACACTAGAGCAAGTGAAAGCAGGCTGAGTCCCCTAGGACAGCCATGAGTGGGGAAGGACACCTTGAGCTCTGGCTTGGGTCACCACACGTGGCCTGACGACTTAGAAAGATAGCCTCCTCAAGGGAGTTCCTGGGCCAAAGTAAAGTGGTCCTAAATGTGGAATTTTTAGGCACAATTTTCTCCATCATTGAGCTGCTTTAGCAAAGACCTGCCTTTTAAGGCAAATTTATGAAAATCTGGTGCTTTCTTGTTGTGATGAGCATCGGGTGTTGTACTGAAATGTGGAATCACTATACTGTTCGCCTCAAACTAATATCGCACTGTATGTTAACTAACTGGAATTTGAATAAAGTCTTAAAAAATAAAATATAACCTGCTGCTTTAAGAAAGGAAGAGTCCTAGAGTAGAAAGAAAAGAGCATCCTTCAAAGTCATACAATGCTGGATTCAAAACTCAGCTCTGTCACTGAGTGGTGACCTTGGAAAACTTATTTAATCTCTCTGACCCTTAATTTACCCATCTACAGAAAAGGGATATTTATATAAAGCTTAATAACAGACACAAGGAATCTAAGACAAGTCTAGAGAGAGGTTAGTGTTGTGGGCAGGCAGCAAGGCTGAAAGGGGGGATGAGGGGAGACTCTGAGCTGCTGGTTATGTTGTTGTGTGTTGAACTTGGGAAAATTCATCCAACTGTGTACTTATGGTTGGTGCATTTTCCTGTACATAGTCTATAGTTTCCAAAAACAGTATTTGGTTTGTCTTTTTTTTTTTTTTTAAGATTTTTATTTATTTATTTGACAGAGAGAGAGAGAATACAAGCAGGGGGAGTGGGAGAGGGAGAAGCAGGCTTCCTGTGGAGCAGGGAGCCCGATGTGGGACTCGATCCCAGGACCCTGAGATCGTGGCCTGAGCCGAAGGCAGACACTTAACCAACTGAGCCACCCAGGCGCCTGCTTTGTTTTATTTTTAATAGAGGGTGGTAACACCTCACTTTTGAGCTTCCTGGGAGCATTAACAGTAACAGAGGATTACACTGGTACAACATCAAGCTGTGGAAAACAGCTTCGAGGGGCTTTGTCTGGCAAAACGGGGGAGCAACCCATATTTCCAGTGGGCTTTGCTCAGCTGGGAGGATTATCCAGCCCACAGAGCTCATGAGAAGGCATAGTGCGGCAGAGCCAGCTGGATGGTCATGGGGGCTGCACAAGACTGCCGATGGAACTTCCACTCTGCTGTACCCACGAATTTTCACGAAGGTGACCAAGTCCTTGCAATGTTGTACCTCCACCCTGAGGAACCAAGCAGGGCTGCAGACTTAGGCATTGAGGCGGAGAAAAGCAGGAAGCAGCAAGGTAAGGAGTTCCCAGTGCAGGGGAGGGTTTTCAATGGTACTTACTGATTCAGCCTAACTTATCTAAATTTCCAAGAATCAGGGGCACTGGGGTGGCTTAGGGTGTGACTCTTGGTTTCAGCTCAGGTGGTGATCTCAGGGTCATGAGATGGAGCCCAGCGTGGAGCTCCTCACTCAGCATGGAGTCTGCTTGAGATTCTCCGTCTCCTTCTGCCCCTCGCCCCCACTTGCACACATGCGCGCTCTCTCTCCAAAATAAATAAAATCTTAAATTTCCAAGAATCAGGAAAGCCTGCAGGTAACACCTGATTATAAGTACATAAAGTACTTAGCCCAAAATGTGCTCCATCAATGGTAGCTGGTATTATTTTCCTATTGGTCTACTGTTAAGATGCATTTCTCTGTGAGAATCTCAAACAAACACACCCTAGCACCTATCTTGGGCAAGGATCCGTGGCATCCAAAGATGCAGGGACCACAGTGCCTGTTTCCACGTTACTCATCTGCCAGAAGCAAGGGAGGGGAAGCAGGACATGCACAAATGAAAAAGGGTTTCTATTTGTCTTTGTAGCATCTTTTAAAGAGGACTCTGGACAAAAGTTAGGTGGGACCCAGGCAGAGCCCTGGCCAGAAGGGACTCCCAGCCCTCACACCCAGTGACAGCCCAGAAGGCACAATCCTGTGGCCCTTCGAGCTGATCCTAGCAGAACACATTCAACAGCCCCGTGCCCTCCAAAATCACTGCTCCACCTTTGAAATTGCACACTGATTATGATATACCACCTACAGGTGATCGTTAATATAGCTGTACTGAAAACCCATTTTCTTCAGTCTCTCTTCCAGGATTTTCACAGTGCCTTCTCCACAGGACTCCCTAAAATATAAAAACATAAATATAATTAAAGGAGGAGGAAAAAAGGAAGCTGTTTTGGGGTGAATTAAAATTTCCCACGGCCACATGCTTCTCGGGTTATTCTCCTCTCTGAGGAAATACCCGAAAGTAACCCCAAAACTGCCGCTTGTGGGGAACCCGCGGTACCCCAGGAGACCGTGCGCTGAGCTCCAAAATTTGCGGGTCCAGCGCACTGGGAGGGCCTGGGCTTGCGCATGCGCAGTGCGCCGCCCCCGCCCCCCACAACGCACCTCAGTGATGCGCCCCAGGCCCGCACAGTGCTGCCAACGTGCTCACCCTACAGTGTGTGTTAGGTTAGGCTTTAAATGAAAACAAGAACATACAAGTCAAAAATTAGCAAAAAATGCAAATAAACACAAGGAAAAAGAAATCACCCCAATCGCTTATCACTAGGGCCAAGTGCTGCTAACATTTTGGTGTATATCCTTCTAAACGTTTGAAATACATTCATTCCCACGAGACTTTTAAACTATAATAGGCTTCTGCTGTCCGATGCATTTCGTATTCTGCTTTGGCACAAGTGTACTTCTATATACGTCTCTGCCGTTATTTTTAAATTCCTGCATGGTCTCCCTTACATAATCAGAACATGATTCATAAAACCCGTCCCCTCTTGTTGATGATCAAGTTTGATTCCTATATTTTGATGTCACACTAAAACTAACCTTGTTGGAGCTTCATTTTCAAACACATCCTTTAATTCTTTGTTTCCTTAGCATAAATTCCTGGAAGTAGGTTTTTGGCACTAAGGTTTTGAATGCAATTTAAGGCTCCTTGATAGCGTCAAAGCACAAAAATTCAACTGAGTAAATCTGAAAATCTAACTGGCTTTATTCAACGATTCAGGAATAGACCGGCATCCCTTCTAGTAAACAGGCAAGCGCTCTGAGAAGTCTTTGCAAATGTGAGGCTTTGTATCCTTAGGAGGGTGTGACAAGGAAGTTATTAGCAAAAGAAAAGAAAGGATTATTTCAGGCCAGGTCATCTTCTCTTTGGGGGGAAGGGAGAGGCAAGGATTTAGTGTGCCGATGACCTCACTGTGGCTGATCAGGAAATTTCAGATTGACTGTTGAAAGGTCACATTTCTGGGAGAGGTTGAAACTTGGTTTGCTATTGTGGGGAGAACTGACTCCATTTGGGACCCACTGTTACTTTTTTGTTGTTATGGAAGTAGATTTCATACACAAGGTTACATTATTAATTGGGCCTGTTGTTTCTTTTCCAACAAGAGGCAGTGCCAAATTGCACCCTCGGCTGCCCACCCCATTACCATGTGAGCGTTCATTTCCCCACACTCTCCTCCACTGGGAGTCCTGCCCTCCTGTGGCCATAATTCAGCAGGGGCAAACAGCACGGATACAATACCGCCAGCTACGGCAAGTAGGCATGGCATTCATATCACCGGCAGCCGTGCCTCAGTTTACCTGGAATGAAAAGAGAAACAGCCTCCACACTGTAACACTAATAGAGAGGAAGTACACAGAGTGGAAATGAGTGACTGGAGGAAGTTTCCACAAATGAAATGGAATTCTAGGCATTACAGGACTGATGAGGGCAAGGGGTTAAGTGACATCATGTTTTAGAACCTAGCCAAAATCTGGGATGAAGTCCTTCTCCAGGACAAGCTCACTACTGAGAATTTTTAGAAAGCAGTGATATGGAGGTTTCAGGACATGTGGATATATAGAGGTCAATGGATTATTTTACTATTTTTTTTTTATAATGGCAGTTAAAACAATGCTAACCACAATCAGGTATCAGCCATATTGTTTTTAGCTCTTTGTCTATAAGTTGTTTTTTTTTTTTTCCCCTAAAATCTGAGCAGTTCAAGACCCTCACTTCCTCAGCTCATGATTCGTAACTCCCCTCTGGCACTAACATACAACCACATGCTCTGGGCCCTTTTATCAACTTGCCTGTAGCAGAAGTGTTGGTCTAAGATAACATTGAATTGCAATTTCCTTATCTCACTAAAGATAGGTTCAAAGGGCAAGCTGTCTCTGATAGAAACGTTCAAACAACAAGCACGCACAATTTCTAGACAAAGAGCAAATTCCCACAGAAATAAGAAAAATAATATACACTGTTTTTTATGCAACATAAGTATAATTTGTCTTCCGGGAAGAGAAATGCAGATCCTGGTATTACTATGTAGTAAGTCATTTGCAAATTTAATCTCTTGTTTAAGAGACAGGAAAAAATAATCCCTCATTATATGGCGAGTCTTAGAGGACTCTAGGGGCCTGAAATGGGGGAGTTGCTAAGATTCTCCCAGAACATACTCATTGGGGTTGGCAATACTTTTCTATTTTTTTAATATTTTATTTATTTATTTGACAGAGAGAGAGACAGTGAGAGAGGGAACACAAGCAAGGGGAGTGGGAGAGGGAGAAGCAGGCTTCCCGCCGAGCAGAGAGCCCGATGTGGGGCTCGATCCCAGGACCCTGGGACCATGACCTGAGCCGAAGGCAGACATTTCCCCAAAAATGACTGAGTCACCCAGGTGCCCCTGGCAATACTTTTCAACAATGCTCTGAAGAGCAAGGCCCCAGCTGGCCTCTAAAGCCTGTTGTGGCTTGGCTGTACCTGAACCAGGCTGGGCCTTCTTGGCTTGTCTCTGAATCATCTGGGTTTACGTTTCTTACTTCCGTCTTCAACAGCAATGCTCCACACTGATGAGAAGAATGAAATAAGTCAGTCAGAGAAAGACATGTATCACATGACCTCACTGATATGAGGAATTCTTAATCTCAGGAACAAACTGAGTGTTACTGGAGTGGTGGGGGGTGGGAGGGATGGGGTGGCTGGGTGATAGACATTGGGGAGGGTATGTGCTACGGTGAGCGCTGTGAATTGTGCAAGACTGTTGAATCACAGATCTGTACTTCTGAAACAAATAACGCAACATATTTTAAGGAAAAAGAAAAAGAAGAAGATAGGAGAAGAAGAATGAAGGGGAGTAAGTCGGAGGGGGAGACGAACCATGAGAGACGATGGACTCTGAAAAACAAACTGAGGGTTCTAGAGGGGAGGGGGGTGGGGGGATGGGTTAGCCTGGTGATGGGTATTAAAGAGGGCACGTTCTGCGTGGAGCACTGGGTGTTATACGCAAACAATGAATCATGGAGCACTACATCAAAAACAAATGATGTAATATATGGTGATTAACATAACAATAAAAAATTTAAAAAAATTAAAAAAAAAGAATGAGGTCAGACTTGCATTTATACAAACTCAAGTGGTTTTCCAGAAAATATGGATTTTTTTTTTTAAAGATTTTATTTATTTGACAGAGAGACAGCAAGAGAGGGAACACAAGCAGGGGGAGTGGGAGAGGGAGAAGCAGGCCTCCCGTGGAGCAGGGAGCCCGAGGCGGGGCTCGATCCCAGGACCCTGGGACCATGACCTGAGCTGAAGGCCAGATGCTTAACGACTGAGCCACCCAGGTGCCCCAGAAAATATGGATCTTAACAGTTTCCTTGGCCCGTTATCTGAGACCCAGTTGTGGAAATGGTTGTTCTCTGAGAATAAAGTCTTCATTACATAGTCCTTGGGTCAATTCTGAGAACTCCTGGTGGGGGCTTTCAAACAACTGGGGGAAAAACTGGCTTTGACCCACACAAATGCAGAAGGAACTCTCCTATCCAGTGCTGCCCAGGTAGCTCGGAAAGGAACACCATTTTCCTTGGCTGAGAATAGTACTGAATAAAGGAGGTCCTCTCTCTGGGCTCAGGACTGCTTAGTGGCATTTCCAAAAAGTCAAGACTTTGTCTTTCTTTACCCATGACATTAGAAACAGAGAACACTGTTGTTTCCCCAAAAATGAAAATGTAAAACGGGCTTGATTATATCATATTCAAGAGAAGTGTGTTTGTACAATTACCATCATCAGTAATGCGTTGACTTACACTTCCGGTCTTCCGATTTCATGCATAACCCAGATCTCAATTCGTGTGATTTTATCCTTCTGGAAACAGGGAATTTCAAAATCTGTAAAAAAACTGAGAAAGAGGAAAGACACTTTTTAAAAAAGATTTTTATTTATTTGTTTACTGAGAGAGCACAAGCACGCAAGCAGGGGGAGGGGCAAAGAAGAGGGAGAGAAAGAATCTCAAGCAGACTCCACGCTGAGTGGGGAGCCAGATGCTGGACTCGATCTCACGACCCTGAGATCATGACCTGAGCCGAAATCAAGAGTTGGACGCTTAGCTGACTGAGCCACCCAGGTGCCCCGACATTTCTTAAAGTCCTAAAGCAATAGGATACTTTTCCCATTTCACTGTTAGTTGATTTACACATTACTTTGGTTGGAAAGCTTTCAGGGTGTTCTGTGGGGGTATTTTTGGCTTTTATTTTTAGGTTATTTATTTCATTCATGCATTCATCAGCTATCATGACAGAGATGTATAGACATGGCTCTGACCTCCAGTCATTCAATTGTCTTTGCTTTACCTGAACTTAAAAAAGGAAGCCTTATGCTGGTGATTAAGACAGTTTTCTTAAGCTTCCATTTGAAAAAACTAAATAAACATCTTGGCGTTCTTTGTTGCAGTTGTTTATGCTGGTGTTCTTACCCTTTAACAGGATAGGCTCCTGATGGCTTTGAACCATTCAGCATGACATAGATCACCCCAGAACTGTCCTTTGAATACTGTAAGAAGAAACAAGTATTTTGATTAAGTTAACACATGTCATTTTTCAGCTATGAAATGAGCAATTTTTTTTATAAATTGACATTCCTCAGTGTGAGCAAAGATGTACTAAATTTGATATTTCATACAGCTGGTAGGGATGCAAATGGCATCTCTTGGAAAGCAGATTGCTTTGAAATGTCAAAAACTCATAGACTCTGTGATTCCATAGCTGGGAATCTACTCTAGGAAAACCATGTGAAATGATCAGTTTCCAGCATTGTATCAGCTGGAATACACTAAAGTATGCTGCCAAACAACCTCAACATCACAGTGGCTTTAAACAACAAAGATTTATTTCATGCTCACTCTACATCTTTATCACAAGTCCACTGGGGTTTTGTCCCCTGTGTCCTCGCTCTGGGACATAAGCTGATGAAGAGTCCATATCTGCAAAGTCATTGATTGTCAGGGAAGGGAGAAGGGGACAGTGCAAATCACAGACTAGTTCTGAGACATTTCCACCCAGAAATCATACACACTCCCTCTCACATCTCATTGGCAAGTCACAAGCAAGTAACATCAACAAGGCAGGGGAATGCAAACCATGTGTGCAGAAGATGAACCAGACATTTTGTAAACAGCTCCAAGGACCATCACAAGCATTGTGCACAAAGGTGTGTACTGCAGCATTGTTTGTAAGCCATCTAAAATAGTCAACAACAAAGGAATGGCAAGTAACTGATAGTACTTAAGTGTCTGAAATATTAGCCCGCCATTAATAAAACTGTGCAAAAGATTTGTAAACAGAGAGGAAGTATGTATATGTAAAGCAAAGTGCAATATTAGGAAGATAGAGCAGGTGCTCTACTATGTTAAAAATAATTCCCAGACAAAAGTCTGGGAACCTTAGTCACCCCCCAAAATTCCCAAGGAAGAGATAGGTCCAGCGAAGTTCCCAAATCTCCATTTCAGAATACTACTAGAACATACAATTTCCCTGATAAAAGATTTATACTGGAGTCAGGCAGGTGGCACTGAGAAAGCCATGACTGGACTTAGTGATGCCCAATACCAGCGGCAGCAAAGCAACAATACACTTGAGACATGCGTGTCATGCATGTCTCAGGGTTCCAAATAGTCAGTGCTAACGGTCATGGTCAAATCCACAAATGCCAAGGTCTGGTGACCATAATGCTGAAGGGGTTGCCTTCAGGCAACAGGCATATACATGATTAATTTTCTTATCTGTATTTTCTATTATTATTTGTCACTTTTTTATCCTGAGCAGCTACCACATTGGTAAGAAAAAAAAATGAAATAAAAAATGCAGCAGATACAATGAGGCTATATGATGTAGTGGTTGAAAAATTTGTTGTCTGGCTCCTCCACTTATTAGCTCTGGAATAAGGCTGCTTAATAAGTTGAATAGAAAGAAAATACATAAATAAAAAAAATAAGTCTGCTTAAGTTTCTTGATCTCTTTATGCCTCATTTTTCCTATCTGTAAAACAGGGGTCATAAGGGTCCCTGACCTCATAGGATTGTTGTAAAGATTAAATCATTTAAAATAATAATTATTGGGGTGCCTGGGTGGCTCAGATGGTTAAGCATCTGCCTTCAGCTCAGGTCATGATCCCAGGGTCCTGGGATCAAGACCTACATCAGGCTCCTGGCTCAGCAGGGAGCCTGTTTCCCCCTCTCCCTCTGCCTCTCCCCCTGCTCATGCTCTCACTCTCTCTCTGTATCTCTGTGTCTCAAATGAATAAATAAAATCTTTAAAAAATAAAAAATAAATAAATAAAATAATAATTATGGGGACACCTGGGTGGCTTAGTCAGTTAAGCATCCGACTCTTGGTTTCAGCTCAGGTCATGATCTCAGGGTCGTGGGATCGAGCCCTGTGCCAGGCTCCCGGTGCTCAGTACAGAGTCTGCTTGAGATTCTCTCCCTCTGCCCCTGCCCCCACTTGTGTGCATGCTCTCTCTCTCTCTTTCTCTCTAAAATAAACACATTTTAAAAATCTTTAAAAAATAAATAAAAATAAAACAAAATAATAATTATCAACATGTATTGAATATTCTCTGCTACAGTTCCGACCCTCTCCTCACACTCAACTACCTCTCCTTGTGCACAGACTATCCAGCACATTCTAAGGGCTCCTAAAATGCCCCTGAGTTGCAGCTATGATCCCACATTCAGGTGATGATGCCCCCATAGCCTCCATGAGGGGCTCTGGCAGCCCGGTGCTCACTGAGTGGAATATCCACTGGAAATGGAGCCAACGGGTAGTGAGCGTAAATGCGGTGCTCCCATGGGATCAGCAGGACAGCTCAGCAATAAACAGTGCCTTCTGCCTGGTGCCGGCCCTCTGTCCTGCTCCAAACTGCAGCGTGGAGGAGGATTTAACCAGTCATCTCACTCTGATCAACAAGGGACCCAGTGGACACCCAGGGATCCAGGATGGGACAAAAAGGGACATGGACAGCCCTGAGAGGGAGCTGCTGGTGGTGGGTGGCAGGACCCTAAAGTCCACTGGCCTCCGAGTCAATACAGCTAACATTTAATAGACTGTCATCATCTCTGGTGGCAGTATTCTCTGAGGAATAGACCTTCGGTAAGGGGCCGTTTCTGTGTCTCCAGTTTGTCTTCCCCTCACCTGTCACCTTCCACCTCCTATCACCTCCTCTATCATGAATAGCAGGCTTGGGGACATTTCTGACCCCAACAGCTGGATCTCAGGTGTCCCAAGGTCTCACATAAAACAGGGGTCACCCCATTTTACATAGCAATCAAAATTGCATTGATTCGAAATACTGAGAGCAGCCACAACATGATAGTATAGCGACTATTTAATATCCTCATCTATACCAACATTCACTGAATGTGTTTGCTTGCTGTGCTAAGTATTTAGGCTACCTAAGTCCTCACACCTTTATGGAGCAGACGGAGTGAATCATAATGTGGCAAACGTGGACACAAAGAGAGGCTCAGAGACATTAAGTCATGACCCGATGGCCCCGTCTCTGAACCCCTGTCTTATGTTCATGGGTCCCACATGTGCTAGCCTCCCAGCCGGCCTTCCCAAGCTCACCTGCACAGATGCCCTTTTCCAGAAAGAATCCACGGGTTGTTTTCACAATCTTCTGATGGAGGGCAGGACTGGTAATCAAGTCCTAAGGGGAAAATAGACAGACATTGTTTCATTTCAAACATTTTATCAGAGAAGAATTGATTTAAAACATTTGCTGACTCCACAAAATCTATTTAGCCTGTGTTTACAAGTTTTCCTGTTCACAGTTCTGCCTACCTGACCCACAAAGAACCCAATCTGTGATAGGAAGACAGGTGTCATTCTGCTTTGCACAAATGTGAGGAAGGCAGAGACCCAAGCAGTTGGCTGCCGACCACCAAGCGTCAGCATGTTAGCTCGGCTTTTTCTTTACTGAGGGTTCAGTGAAGTGATTTAAAAAAAAAAAAAAAAAGTCGGGCACCTGGGTGGCTCAGTCATTAAGTGTCTGCCTTCGGCTCAGGTCATGATCCCAGGGTCCTGGGATCAAGTCCCGCATCAGGCTCCTTGCTCGGCAAGAAGCCTGCTTCTTGAACCTCTCCCACTACCCCTGCTTGTGTTCCTGCTCTCACTGTCTCTCTCTCTGTCAAATAAATAAATAAAATCTTAAAAAAAAAAAAGTCTTTGCTCTGTTGAGTGACGTGCCTTCTCCAGTTAGACCCGGTCTTAGAAGTAAATACAACAAAACACCAAGACAGTGATAGTCTTTAACCAGAAAACAGAAATTTTATGACATTTAAAATATATAAAGTGTTAAAAGGTATTACATTTTATAAAAATTCTAATGACAGGGGTGCCTGGGTGGTTCAGTCGGTTAAGCGTCTGCCTTTGGCTCAGGTCATGATCTCAAGGTCCTAGGATCAAGGCCCACATCAGGCTCGCTGCTCAGTGGGGAGCCTGCTTCTCCCTCTCCCTCTGCTGCTCTCCCTGCTTGTGCTCTCTGTCTCTCTCAAATAAACAAATAAAATCTTTAATAAATAAATAAATATAAAATTAAAATTCTAATGACAGAATTCAGCAGGCATATAATGGGATTGCTCCCCCATTTACTCTATAAAAAAGGAGAAAGTACTCATTGACAAGTCCTTCCAGAGAGAACCAAACAGGGCAAAATGTGTACTTCTGAAGGGAAATATGGGGAGTTTCCATGCCCCCTCAGGGCCCATCATTCTCCCACCTTCCCAGTGTTCACCAACTCAGAGGCCCTCTGAACCCCACCCCGCAGGGGTTTTATGAGATTTCATTAGGCAGACATGATTGAGTAAATCATGGCCTTGATGATTAACTCAATCTCCAGCCCCTCTTTCCTTCCTGGAGGACAGGGATGGGGCCAAAAGCTCACAGGCTCTAATCCGGTTTTCCTTGGTCTTTCTGGTGACCAGCCCCCATGTGAAGCTATCTAGGAACCTCCAACCACTAGTCATGTCATTATCACACAAAAGACATTCTTATTACTCTTCATATTCCCAGGGTCTTAGGAGCTGTGTGTCAGGACCTGGGGACAACAACCGAATATTTGTGATTATACCATACTCTCCCTTCCTTCACATTCTTTTTCTCACACTCCACACATCCGTGCTGCAGGATAATCAAACAGACTTCCCGGTCACTGTCTATTGGATGGACGGCCACGTCCATTGACCTGGACCCTGAAATTTTCCCATTTCCCTCCCAGTGAAAGCCCCGTGCCGTCTGGCCCTCCTTTATTCCTCTGGCCTCATCGCCTACTACTTTGCTCTTTACTTGCTGCTGTCCTTGCTGTTCCTTAAATATTCCAGACATACTTCCACCTCAGGGCCTTTGCACTGGCTGTTCCCGCTCTCAGGAAATTCTCTTCCTCAACTCCTTCAGATCTTTGCTCAAATAGCCGCTCAGCAAGGCTTTCTCTGGACACTAATGTAAACCTGCAACACTGTCCTCCCTCTTCCTTCCCCTTCCAGCACTTCCTACCCTCTTTCCTGTTTTGTTTCTCTCTGTAGCCCATGTAATCTTAGGGCAGACTGTTTGACTCACCTGTGTCTTGTCTTATCTCCCCATCTACAATGTAAGGATGGGGTATTATTTTCCTGTTTTATTCTCTGCTGTGTTCCCACTGCCTAGAGGCACAGAGTAGGCACTCCTAGTTGGATAAATGAATGAATGGAGGACAATACACAGAAATGACCTTAGGCTAACTTTTAAAGTGATTCCAATACCCAGGCAGGAAGAATCTCCAGGGATTCTTGATGGGAATACCTCCTCCTACCTCCTCTCCTGCTCACCCCTCAAGACTCATTGAAAACCAAGAGCTGCTGGGAAGCTTCCCAGATACCCTGGTCTAGGCTGGTGTCTGTGCTACTGCTTAGGACCTGGGCTTTCCTGCATCAGAGCACAGCACGGAAGGAAATGCCCCTCACAAAGCTATAAGCCCGCTGAGGATGGCAACTGCTCTAGCTCCAGCTCTCAGAAGGATTTGTTTGGATGCATGAGGAGAGTTTTTATTACAACCAGGCCAGCCCTTGTGACTTTCACTGTGATTTTAGTCGCAAAATATCTTCTGGTACTTGGAGTGGCATTTAAGAGCACAGGCTTCAGAATTCATCTGAAGAAGATTAACTCCTGGCTCAACTCCGTCAACTGATTTAACCTCCCCAAACTTCAGTTTCCCCTTCTGGAACATGAGAATCGTGAGGCCAGGTCGGGCAGGGCTGGGAGCACGCGCTCTGGAGTCAGGCGGTCTGACTCTGCCGCTTCGGAGCTGTTCACTCCTCAGGAAGCTTCTTAACCTTGCTGTGCCTTAGTTTCCTTATTTATCACAACAGAGATTAGGAGAGGACCTATCCCTTGGCGCTGCTGCAGAGATTAAGTTAGTTAATATGTATCAATTATGCTTAAAGAGTACCCAGCAAAAGATAAGTGCTTTCTCTCTATTATTGTTATCATTAATTATTATTACCACCTACCTCAGAGTCTTTGGGGGGAATCAAATGAGACAAATGCATAGGAAAGCATTGAGCACAAATGGCAAATGCACAGTATTGACTTAACTAGGAGCTCTTACTTTCCTTGTGATTTGTCCGGGAGTCTTACCGGAGGCATTTTCCTGTCGACACCAGCTCAGAAAATCACCAATCGTCCTGTACAGAACATTGCACAGAGGTATCAAGTGACGACGGGCATTCTCTGAATAGCTAGTGACAAGGAGGTGGTTGTTTTCCCAGAACAGGGACTGAGGAAAAACAAACACAAAATTAACATGAAAATGAAATCAAAGCAGATTTTTTTTTCAGCCAGGCAGTCCATATTTATTCAACTCTGACTTCTCTGACAACAACCGAACTTTCTTTTTCTTTGTCTTTGTTTATCCATTCAGAGAGTGCCATGATCTCTCCTCCCATCGTTCCAAGGGTCATGCACAGGTTAACAAAGTACTTTCTCAGTAGTAAATATATATATTTATCCCAGGATTTAAAAAGAGATCAAAGGACGTGGGTTCGAATCCTCACTCTGTCATACACTAGATGTGTGATCCTGAGCAAGGCATGTCATAGCCCTGTGCCTCAGTTTCCACATCTGGAAAATGGGGAGCTTGAACCCTTTCTCTTCTTCCACAGCTGTGTTCAGGATACATCACCACAAAAAGCACTTTGGAGAGTGTAAAATGCCTCAGAAATATGTTACTTTTGGGGCGCCTGGGTGGCTCAGTCGTTAAGCATCTGCCTTTGGCTCAGGTCATGATCCCAGGGTCCTGGGATCGAGCCCCGCATTGGGCTCCCTGCTCCGCGGGAAGCCTGCTTCTCCCTCTCCCACTCCCCCTGCTTGTGTTCCCTCTCTCGCTGTGTCTCTCTCTGTCAAATAAATAAATAAAATCTTTAAAAGAAAATGTTACTTTTATACTGTACTTTACAGTTTCCACTATAATGCTACAGTGTTTTCAGACAACGGTAAATATAAATAACAATATCCCTCCCATGATCTCATCAGACCCTCAGTGGTCCAACTGGGCTATGCCTAGACTGGAAGCTTCTCAAGGGTTGGGGCTGTTTTGTTCCCCATTGCAAGCATCCTCAAGCCTTAGCACAAGGTCCAAAATGTGGAAGTAACTATTTACTGAGTTCATCAACTAGCACCAAAATCTATGAAAGAAGAGAACAACATTTAGGGTTTCTCTTTTTACTGGCAGGAGGCAGCAAGTTGCAAAATGCAACATATCCTTAAAAATCATTATTTTCAATCTATTATATCTCTGAACCTTCCAGCTCCATTTACAAATTTAAAACAACAATGTTAAGATTTTTTCCTTTGTAAACATCAATGTTACCTGAATTCACAATGAAAAATCGGGTTAAGAATTATGTTGTCGAGAAACAAAACAAAGCATCTGACTTTCTTTAAACTCAAGGTATTGTTCTAAGCAAGCATTTTATGTAGATTTTCTCGTTTGTTTTCATTTTATTTGAACTCAGAACACAGACATGTAGTTTCCTTAAAGAAACTGGTACTGAATAGACAGAACCTTCAGGTCCCTTAAAAGGAGGGATTGGTCTTCTGGGAGGATACTGAGGTTAAGGGTCTTCTGAGTCACCCAAAAGTTCAGGCCTTTGGGGCCAGTTAGGACACAAATTATTCAGAATTGGCTAGGGGCAGAGGCCCAGGGGAAAGCTGTGGCAAGGTCCTAACATAGTGATTCCCCACACAGACTTGTTGATTTAGGAAAGTTCCTTCTGCCCAGACAGGCAGGAGACCCAGAATTACCACTGAAGACAAAGATGCCTTCCCACCAGAGACCTCCGGTGAGTTTGCTGCTTGATTTTTTGGGGAGACTGCAACAGGTGCCCGCAGGGTCGCAGACACCTGGCCCATGCACCATCTATCTCTATAGAGACGGAGAGGAATGTTTTACCTTGTCTCTGGGAATGGAATGTCTGGAGAGGTTAATGAAAAGGTCGTAGTCGGAGGGAAATACAAACAGGGCTCCTTGTCCAGCACCACTTTAAAGGCTTCCCAGATAGCTGTGCAGTTCTTGTCCCTATGCAGCAGCACACATTAAAAAAAGAAAAACAAACCACATCATGAGATGTTGTGAATTACTGCCATTTCTCTCTAAGTACTCCAACAGCTTTCCACACAATTTTGCTGTTTATCAACTCTGCAGAACGAGGCACGAAAAGGACAGCAAATTCTCCTGTCTCGTGCATTAACCCCCATTTAGAAGAGGAGAAGAAAAAAACCTAGGTGATGCGTTTGGAAATCTGACAGTGGAAATGGCTCTCAGATGGTACGACACACATTTTTCAGAGCTAGGGAAGAGAGTCTTGTCCCGGGCTCCCAGAGATGAGCAGGAAAGGCACTTTCCTGGAGGATGACAATTCCAATAAACCAGGCAGGCTCCCGACTCCAGGGGCCTCTCCGTTGAGACTTAAGGTCCACTTTCCCTGGGGCCACGTGTGGTCAGGCCAGTGGACGAGACCTTGTAAAACCAGGAATGAGAGCTGGCTGTTGAGAAAAGCTGTTTCGCCTCCTTCGAATGTTAGTTAGGGCTAAGGTTATCAGGGACCACAGTGAGAAGTTAAAAGGTATACACTCTCATGTTCTCCAGCACGTTCATTTGTCAGCTTCACAGGTTCTGTAGAACTGCCCTGTTCCTGGGAAATGCCCACAGTTACTCAAGAGGGCAGCAGACGTTCTTGGGAAATTATGGAGTTAAGCAAACCCCTTGAATGCCATGCTCAAAAGATTATAAAAGTTCTACTAAGTTCCCGTGGCCAGCTTCTTATTTGTAGGGACCAACTGACCCAAATGTTGCTGGCTGGCAACCTGAAGCCACCTTTTGTGTTAGAGGAGTCAGTGCTTTAAGAACTATCTCCCTGGAGGCGTCTGGGTGGCTCAGTCGGTTAAGCGGCTGCCTTCAGCTAAGGTCATGATCCCAGAGTCCTGGGATCAAGCCCCAATGCTCGGTGGGAGGTCTGCTTCTCCCTCTCCCTCTTCCTCTGCCTCTCCCCCCGCTTGTGAACTTTTTCTCTTTCTCTGTCAAATAAATAAATAAAATCTTAAAAAAAAAAAAAAAAGAACTATCTCCCTGTCTCCGTACTTGCTGAAAGTAGTAAAAACCATTTGCTCGTGCCAAAAGATTTGGGCTGATCTATTCGCTGACGCAGCTCACGCTGTCACTCTTTGCGTTAGGTGACACTGAGGCAGACAGGATGCCCTCCGGTGACAGCCACAACTCTTCAAGTCCATCCTAGCTTTCCAAAAACATTTCCCAAGGCATTTGTAACTGTTTATTTCTTGTGTGGGGCAGTGGGTAATATGGGTGTTCCTTATATTATTCTCTGCTCTTTTTATTTGTCTGAAATGAATCAGAAAGAAAAAAAACTGGCACAAGAAAAAAACATTATGAAAACAGAAAAAGTAGGTCCAAAGAAGGAACAAAAATTAGTTAAGAAGCACTGTGCTGGTAAGAGAGACTCAAACTCATAAAGTCCTCTAGGTTTCAGAGGATCTGAAATTTGAATTCCGGAAGTCCCTGGATTCACCAATTTCCAGGTCGGCCTTCCCGGGTCTGACCATTCTGGCTAAGCATATACTTGCTGGCTGTCATCCAAACTCACCTCTACGTACTCCTCGCCTCTAGGTTGACGGCCCACAGCCTCCTTCACTTACACACACACACACACTCACACACACACACACTCTTCTCACCCCTAGACTTCTCACCCTCTGCCCTTGGGTCCCGGGACCTTTAGAAGCCCCACCTTCCCCCGCGCACACCTCCCGGGTCGAGATCCTCCACTCCCTCCACCCCCTACCCTTTAGTCTCCATCTGCCCCTCCCGACACCCTCCTCCCTTCTAGACCTCCCCGCTTCCCCCGCCCAGCTCACCGCTGGTCTGGATTCAGGAGCGCGACGTACTCCGCGCATCGGCCCAGGATGATGCTCTGTTGGTGCGGTGTGGTGCCCTCCCCGCGCCCCCGGGCGCCCCCAGCGCCGGCAGCGCCCGCGACCAGCTGCAGCAGGAGCAGCGGCGAGGGCGTGAGCCCCTGGGCTGTCATCGCTGGCGACTTTGTCCCTCCAGCTCCGTGCCTTCTGACTCCCTTCTCATCCCGCACTAAGGTGACTCCCTCCAGAGGCGCGGCGCAGTCCTGCACTCCAACAACACCCCCTGGCTTTCTGCCTCTGCGAGCTGCTTCAGTTCCAAGATTGGGACTTCACTGGCGATAAGATTATGGCTCTTGGCTTTTTGTTGTTAAGATTTTATTTTTAAGTAATCTCTGTAGAGATTACTTGGGTGTACCAAGGTGGGGCTCGAATTTACAACCCGGAGATCAACAGGTCCTGTGAACCCAGGACTGAGACGTTTTTGTTTTTGTTTTGATTGAAGTATAATTAACACACAGTGTTGTACGAGTTTCAGGTGTACAACGTAGTGATTGGACAGTTCTATACGTTACTCAATGCTCACCACACGTCACCATAGGTTATTATATTGACTGTGTTCCCTATGCTGTACTTTTCATCTCCGTTACTTATTTTATAACATTCCTTTTATGTACCTTTTAATGCTCGTCGGTTATCTCACCCAACCCCCACCCACCTACACACGGCAACCACCAGTTTGGCAAACTAACAAACAAAAACCCTAGCTCTTGGGCGCCTGGGTGGCTCAGTTGGTTAAGCGACTGCCTTCGGCTCAGGTCATGATCCTGGAGTCCCGGGATCGAGTCCCGCATCGGGCTCCCCGCTCAGCGGGGAGTCTGCTTCTCCCTCTGACCCTCCCCCCCGTCTCATGCTCTCTCTCTCTATCTCATTCTCTCTCTCAAATAAATAAATAAAGTCTTAAAAAAACAAAACTAGCTCTTGGCTAAAATTGGTCAGAGTCCAGGAGGAAGGAGCCCCCACAGAGGTGAAGTTGGGGAATAGGTGAGGAAAGTTTAATCATCAAAAGAAAGATTTTTCTGGCCCCAAACGGATGCCTTTGACAGATGGCCTCTTTTCCACCGAAGATGAGTGGGTTTTGTTTTCAGGAAGTAATAACCACAAAGCCTAATATTTATCGAGCTGCTATTATGTGCCCAGCACTCCGTAACCAGTAGTCAATTACTTTTCATCACATCCTCCCAGTTAGGTTTATCATCTCCATTTTACGGGTGAGGAATTCAGGGAAGTTAAGTAACTTGTCAGAGGTCATAATCTCCCTTCCAGATAGAGGCAAAATCCTAGAGACAGTCAGTTCAGAGAGCCAGGGACGCCAGAATAGCGCTTGGAGTTCTGGAGGCCCTCATCCCCAATTCTCACAGTAGTGATAGCTGTGAACTCTGAGTGCGAAGGGCAGGCATTTGGTAAACACAGGAAGCTGGCAAGAGGTGGGGGTTGGTGGGTTCTATAACATTTTATGTGAATCATTCTCTTTTTATTTTTAAAGTTTATAACCCAGACCCAGTCTCCTGTCCAGCCCTCCCTGACTCAGTCCACTTTCCAGAAGTAAGCATTTTTGTTTCAAAAGTTTTTTGTATTTACTTCCATGTTTGCAAATAACATGCCTATATGCTGTTTCCTTGATGTTTCCTTCTTAGATTCTATTCTTTGACTTCCTAGGATGGAAAAGGAAATTTTATATTTAACCTCACACATCCTCAAAAGGCATCCTTCTGTGCCTTTCATCATCCTGAGTGTTTTGTCTCAAGCTTTGGATCAGTAATCAGTATTTACATTATTATTGATGGGGTTTTGGAATATAGGTGAGGTTCAGTGGGGTGGAGTCCAGAGCCGACGACTAAGAAAGAATTCTTGAGACATCTTTGGTGCAAAATGGTGGTTTATTAAAGCACGGGGATGGGACCCGTGGGCAGAAAGAGCTGCTGCCCCGGGGTTGTGAGGGGTGGCTGATTATGTACTAGGGGGTGGGGGAGGTGAGGAAACGGGAGGTTTCTGAAAGAACTTTCAGACGCTAAAGAAGATTCACAGGAACCAGAGGCCTTGCCATTGTCAAGTTAAGGTTGTTTCTAGTAAGGCATTAACATTAAGATAGTTGGGAACTGGGGCGCCTGGGTGGCTCAGCTATTGGGCGTCTGCCTTCAGCTCCGATCATGGTCCCAGGGGCCTGGGATCGAGCCTGGCAACACTGGGCTCCCTCTCAGCGGGAGGCCTGCTTCTCCCTCTCCCACTTCCCCTGCTTGTGTTCCCTCTCTCGCTGTGTCTCTGTCAAATAAATAAATAAAATCTTAAAAAATAAAAAAGAATGAATTTCTTTAAAAAAAAAAAAAAAGGCGGGAACCTCCTGGAGGAACATTACACTCTGCCCACTTCAAGTTATGTCGATGGGCTGCAGGTTATAAAGACATTTAATTTTATTTACATTCCCTTCTGGAAGCTATTGCTAAGGCTTTTCTAAGTAAACTGAGGAAGACTCAGGTCTTGCAGGATTGTGATCTCTGTACGTTAACTATTTGTTTTTCCTTTAGGGCAGCTGGGAGTGCCTGAGGAATGTCACATATACCCCATGGGGGGGTGGGTTGTGGGGTGTCAGCTTCTGCTTTGTCCTCAGCTTGCCTTCTGTTCCCTCATCAGTTATGGCCTGTGAATATTATTCATGACTGAGCTTGTGGTATTCTGTGTTTCCTTTCTTGTAAACTTCTTGCTTACCCTAGAGGTAATAATTAATCTCACTCTCCCACTTCCCCCCTTTCTTTATCACCACCTCCCCAGGCTTATTTGTTTGTGTGCTTGGTATTATAAGTACACTTATGATTATGGTCAAATTCTCTGCAATACATGTGAACTTCCCAAAGCATCAGCCTGTATTTTAGGTGGTGTGTTTGATTTCTTACTTTTTTTTTCTCTCTTCCTCCCTTTCCTTCCTTCCCTCCTCTCTCCCTCCCTCTTTTTTTCTTTTTTTTTTCTTTCTCTTTCCTTTCTTGGAAACACCCTTCCTAGAGCTGTCAGCGCAATGAATGGAAACTATTAGAATACCAAGCACACAAATAAGCTTGGGGAGAGAAGGGGGTTGAGGTAGGGGTGACAATTATCACCTCTGGGTAAGCAAGAAGTTTACAGGAAACAATCATGGAATACTGTAAGATCAGCCATGAATAATATTCACAGGTCATAATAATATGAATGCTGATTACTGATTTAAAGCTTGTATCTAAAAAATGGAACTCAACAACTCAAAAATAAGAAGAAAAGCAACACAAATTTTAAAATGGGCAAAATAGTTGAACAGATACCAAAGAAGATATATCCACTACAAGGTATTTACCAGGAAAAAAATGAAAACATGTCTACGGGGGCGCCTGGATGGCTCAGTTGGTTTAGCATCTGGCTTTGGCTCAGGTCATGATCCAGAGTTCCTGGGATGGAGTCCCTGCATACAGCTCTCGGCTCATTAGGGAGCCTGCTTCTCCCTCTGGTCTCTGCCACTTCCCCTGATGGTGTGCTCTCTTTCTCTCTCTCAAATAAATAAATAAAAGCTTAAAAAAAAAAAAAAAGAAAATGTGTCTACTCGAAGACTTATACATGAAATGTTCATTGAGCTTAATCCATAATAGCCCTAAACAATGTAAATGTCTAACAAGAAAAGAATAAGCAAATTGTGATCTGGTCATACAATGGAAAACCACTCAGCAACACAAAGGCATGAACTAGTGATACACTGAAGCATCTAAAAGTATATATACTGAGTGAAAGAAGCTACAGGTAAAAAAAGACATACTTTATTATTCCCCTTATAGGAAGTTCCAGAAGGCATAGGATGCTGACATATACAGAACTGGGGGAAAGAAATTTCAGATGGTGCCAATTGTTTGAGCAAAGGCAGAATAATGGGAAAGCATGTGGCTTCTCCTGGAAAAGATAAAAAAATTAGTTTGATTGGTAAACAGAGTGCAGGTTGAGACTTGCCAGGAAAGCTAAGGTCCTATCTCAAAAGACCTTGAACTCAGTACTAATCTGGACATTGTTTTCTTGAACATTAAGAGCTTTCAATAATTCTGGACTTCCTTATTAAAAATTTTGTCTTAGGGGCGCCTGGATGGCTCAGTCAGTTAAGTGTCTGCCTTTGGCTCAGGTCAAGATCCCAGGGTCCTAGGATGGAGCCCCACATCGGGCTCCCGGCTCAGTGGGGAACCTGCTTCTTTCTCCTTCTCCCTCCGCTCCTCCCCTGATTGCGTACTCTCTGTCAAATAAATAAATACTTAAAATTTTTTTCTTAAAAAATAATAAAATTAAAAATAAATAAAGTTATCTCTTTTGTTGGTTGGCCTTCTTGGTTGCTAAAGCACGAAGAGAGATGAGGCATTTGAAGGTCTTAGAATAGGGGCACCTGGGTGGCTCAGTGAGTTAAGTGTTCAACTCTTGATCTCAGCTCAGGTCTTGATCTCAGGGTCATGAGTTCAAGATCCACACTGGAGGTAGAGTTTACTTAAAAAAAAAAGTGTGACTCCAAATGTGGAGCCATAGTCCCAGAGAGTAGTCTCAGTCCAGAAGGCAGATGCATGTGCCATATAAATTATCCCAAGGCTTTGAAACCTAGTGGAGTTTACCTAGGTGGACCTCTGAAGGAGACTGGATGGTGACTCATTTTTGTCTCTCATTTTCTCCCTTTTTGAATGGGAATGGTTGCGACTGTTCCCTAGGTCTGTCTCACCACTGTATTTTTGAAGCACAGAACTGACTTTCTAATTTCACAGGTCCACAGAGGATTTTGCCTCAGGATAGATTATACCCAGATCCTTTTTTTTTTTTTTTTAAAGATTTTATTTATTTATTTGAGAGAGAGAGAATGAGAGACAGAGAGCATGAAAGGGAGGAGAGTCAGAGGGAGAAGCAGACTCCCTGCTGAGCAGGGAGCCCGATGTGGGACTCGATCCCGGGACTCCAGGATCATGACCTGAGCCGAAGGCAGTCGCTTAACCAACTGAGCCACCCAGGCGCCCAGATTATACCCAGATCCTGTACCCACACCTACTTTAGGTGATTTAGATGTCAGATTTGAGCCTTGGGGCTGGTGAGACTAGATGAGATTTTTTTTTTTTAAGATTTTATTTATTTGAGA